AAATATAATTATAATAATATTATTATATTATAAAATAAAAATAAAAATCTAAAAGCACATAAATTATTTATCTCAAGCCTTTCTCCCTGTTCCATTAACAGAGACATGAAATAGGATTTGTGAAGATAGAGAGAGCGAAGGAAAGAGAAGATAGTGTTTGATGGTTGTAGAGCAGTTTTCGTCCCTCGCTGGAAATTTTTTTTTATCTCCAAGTAGGCTACATTTTGCCTATTTAATTTGTAATAATTAGTATTTTTTATATTTTTTTTCAATTAAATTTGTATTTCCGTAACCGAAAAACGAGAAAAGCTTTGTTTTGGTAAATCACTAAATCCTTTACCATTTAACTTTTTATATGTTACAAATAGTAAGATTATGAAAATTTTGAGTATATTATAAAAAATTTTTGCAAGTGATTTTGGTTTACTCAAAAATTTATTTTAACAACTAAAAAATAGTATTTCAATTCAATTAAAACTTTAGAATGATGTTTCACACAAACCTTAGTAATTTGGTTATTGTTGCGTGCTAGAATATACGCGGCGGTAGAGTTTGTAAATTCGCGTCCGAGCGTTGTACAAGTATTCAGCACACAAATAGAAAAGAGAAATGAACACCAAGGTTTTTACGTGGAAAACCCGAAAGAGGGAAAAAACCACGGGGCCTCGCCCAGTTGTAAAGTTCCACTCGTATTTGTTTGAAGTACAAAGGTTGATCCGTCTTACAAATCAAAACGATCAGTTTACAATCAACTTCTCACAAAGTTACAAAGTTTTGCAAATTCCCGGCGTTTTCCGAAAATCCGGCAGAGTTCCGGCGTCTTCAGGCGGCGGGAAGAGCTCCGGCGGTGGTCGAGGAGGAGCTTCTTCCTTCTCTTCCTTCTTCTCTTCTTCTTCTCTCTCTTCACTTGAGTCCTCTTTGTGAAGAATGAGGGCTCTATTTATAATTTTTCTGGAGTGGCATGGCTCGTAAATAGATGTGAGATCAGGGGCGAATAGGGAGTGGTTTGAACGGACGGCCGATATTGAACCCTTCGATCGTATACCGTTCGTTGGACATTTGGAGGCCTTAATGATGTCGTAATTCGGCAATCTTGAGCTCGTTGGATTCGTCTCGTCAAGCCGTTCGATTCGAGTATAAACTCGTCAAAATCGGAGACCGTTAGGTAACTCAAATTGCGGTTTGAACCTTCCAACAGCGCTTCGGGTCCTTGATTCGGACCCATTTGGGCTCGAATTGGGTTGAATTTGGTGTCGTTGGGTTCATATTTCCGAGACGCTCAGTTTGACTATAAGCTCGTTGAAATTGGAGTTCATGTGCTCCTGAATTTAATTTTTGAAGTTTCAGACTAGCTTTTTGCCTCGAGATTCGTGCCTGATCAAGATAATTTTGTGATGACGCATCAATTATATTTCTAAATTATGATTTTTTTTCTCAGTAGTATTTATGTTGTTTACCGATACGACATTTTCATAATTTTTGAATTCAGTCCAAACATGCTTTAATTAATGAAATGCATTGAAAATTATGTTGTGATGTGAGGTGGGATTCTGTTATGCCAGCGCCAGTGAGCGACTAAGATGAGATTCTGTTATGCCGGTAACAGTGGACGATTGATGTAAGATTCTGTTATGTCGGTGTCAATAGGCGACCGAGGTGTAATTTTGTTATGAAGTTTTTGCTTATAATTAAGTTCATTTTAATATTTATTAAATTTTATTAAATTTTAGTATGTGAGTCATTATAGTGTTCTTAATTCTTTTGATTTTAGTTATTTATTTTTATTTTAGGTTGTGATAGTCTATTGAGCCATGTTAGATCATCTCTGCTTTTTGCTTTTGTTTTCAGGCTCAGAAAAGGATAAAGAGCTAGTTGAGTATTTTAGATAGCAGGCTCCGATTTGTATTATAGGTATGTTTGGTTATTTTTATTTTTTGTAAGATTGACTTTTACTTTTTTTATGTTCTTTGTTTCCAAGCGCTGATGTAGATATATTTTTATGGTCTAATTAGATGATATATAGAAAATCACGTTGAGATTCAGTGTAGTATATTGCATTCAAAATTAAGTGGCTTTATGTAGTATATAAATTGGAATGTTTGTTTTAGTACTTCTCTAATCAGATCTTGGGGACAGTCTTGTCACAATCAAACATAATATGACCAATGTGGTATCGGGTCATATTAGGTCGGGTTGTGACAGTACGATGCCCTCACACGCCTAGTCAAAACCGTCTACAGCCCAGCAAAACTAAGCCTGCTCCCTGCTGACCCGCTGCGTGTTTGTAGAATCAACCCACTATTATAATTCAAATTTAAAAAAAAAAAACATTTTTACCTATAATGGTCAAAAATTATTTCATGAGTCATTATAAATCTAAACATAAACCTTTTTCATTATACCATTGATATTATTGTATTTTAGTTTCACAAATTTTACAGAGTTTTTTGACACAATTCCTTAAGATATTTGTATATGTTGGTACATGTGGGCTTTCTAGGACTATCGAGTATCCATTTTGCAAACTAATTTCACCCGATCATTCTAGATATGCTTAGCAAACTTTACATTTTTTTTTTATAATTTTTGGATCTCTGAATTTAACTATATAAAAATATTTATAAGAATTTTTTGTTAAAAATAAGAAAATTGGCTTAATTATATTTTTTCCCTCTAATTAGTTTATTATAATATCTAAACCTGATTATAGAATTTATTAAAACCTCATTTCCCAAACCCATTTTGTTACCAGAGAAGATTATTGGGAAAATGAGAAAAAATAGAGGAGAGAGATGAAAAAAGCGCTAAGGTTTGATGGCCATAGAGACTTTTTTGTTCTTCCGCCCACTTAAAAAATTTGCTCAGGTCGAGGTAGATTAAGTTTTGCTTATTTCAATTTTTAATAATTTGATGTTTTTTATATTTTTTCTATAAAATTTATATTTCCACCACCTAAAAATGAGAATAACTTTGTTTTGGTAAAGTTTTCACCACGTAATTTTTTATATATTTGACATTATGAAACATTTGAGTATATTTTGAAAAATTTTTATCATGTTATTTAAAAAAAACAGTGTTTTTTCTCATTCAGAATTTTATTTTAACATATAAAAATAATGTTTAATTCAATTAAAGCTTTGTAATGATATTTTACACAATTTTGTTAATTTAGTTATGTTCTAAAGTTATGAATTTTTGTTAAGTAGTGTTTTTTTTATGTAGTATTAGGACATTTTGGCAATTTTTAAATTTAGTCTAATTATTCTTTAATTCGTGAAATGCTAAAAAAATGTTATATATATAACATTATATGAGATGATATTATGCCGGTGTCAGCAGGCGAGGTGAGATTCTGTTATGTCAACACCAGTGGGCGACCAAGGTGAGACTGTTATGTCGGTCACGATGGATGACCGATGTGAGATTCTATTATGCATGTGCTAAAGGAAATTTCTTGTGAAAAATTTTCAGCTGAAAATTCTGTCCGCAATTTACATTTATCCTGTAGTGATTCTTATATGTCCACATTTCAATCACTTGTTGCAAAAGAGCATCATTGCGTACAGTTCAATCTAGCCAAAAAAATGAAGTCATAACAGATTATTTCATCAGAAACATTATTTTTGTTCTAAGTAAAAAAAAAAAAAAAAACAAGAGCAAGGCATATTTTCAGAAATGATTGGTCCCAAAATCGAATCAAATTGGCCTGCCAATTTTGTTCTGAGTAAAAAAAAAATAAAAAAAATCATACGTTAGTGGCTTAGTGATCTTTACAAAATTTCAAGAGCTAATATACTCTTGCAGTTTGATAAGAGATGAAATTATAATATTAAAACAAAATTGTGGGTTTAGCTATCATGCCCTTTTAGATAATATTATAAGACCAAAAGATCAGTTGATCTAAGCTTCCTTGATTCTAAACTGTATAAATATTGTGCCGATCCCATATATTACATTAGGCTTTGGTAGATGATGATATTCTACTGATATTATATAAGTTTCCATCATATATTTCAGTTTAAAGATAAAGCCCTTTACTATGATCTTATAAGTCCTCTTTCAATATCATTTCTTTATAATGAAGTCATTATTGCAAGTGGATTGACCTGATATTAATTAACTTATAATTGACCTGATATTTATGATGTAATCCCTTGAGATTAACCTGCTGGGAACTTGAATATCTTATAATTGAAAGTAAACTTTATTTTTTTTTTTTCATGATAGATAGTAGAAATCTTTGAAAAAATATTCAAAATATCTTATCTTGAAATTTGAGGATGAAAATAGGAGAACGAGAGAAATGACCACTTCCAAGCAAACAAAGAGCTACTTGGTTGCAAGCAAGTGCGCCGGTGCGGTGGAGGAAGTGATCCCAATTGAGTAATGATAAGCAGAAGAAGGATCACAGGGGAGAGAAAAAATTGATGGCGAGAGTGAGGTTTCGTTTGGAACGGCCCTTTTTATTGCTTCTTAAAACAGCTGCATGTCTAGTTTAAAAATTAAAATTTTTATACTATAAAGCCACTTTAAAAAGTAGTAAGAAAGCCGTCTCAAACGAAGTTTGAGATGAAATTAGGGTACGTAAGCCGAGGAAGTCAATTTATTAATAAATTGCAACTGGTCTCGCCAACTGATTGCATGAGCAAAATGAACTTATCCATATTATCCTAACTAATCAGGAAAAAAACTTATGTTATTGCCACCTTATATTTATGATTTGCGAAATTTTCTTTTTAGTTGACCCAAAAAACTTTATAGATGACTATATATATAGTCCTTGTGAATTAGAAACGAAGATTTCACTCGAAATGACAGTCTGATATAGACCACAAAAAACAAAGTGGTGATGAAGCTCTCATGATAAAAAGAGCATTATTCTTCTTTATATATGAAGGTTTCTTAATCAATATTATTGAGCAAAAGAAGAATCATGTGTCATTTTCACAAAGATACGCTAGAATTGATAGCAATATATATATATATATATAACATAATGCTTTAATAAATATGTGACAAATATAATCACCTTAAGCAAATAATACAAGCTACAGTACACGTAGAGAATACTAGCAATTCTCATAATGAAATGCTTAGTCTTCAATGACACATATACGACAAGCATGCAGGTTTTTGATGAATACAAAATGCAAATACAAGTAGATACAATAGCTAGCCTTAATACAAACATGTCTACAACCTTCAGTTTAATTACTAACATAAGCCATGGCCAGCAGCTAATCTTAGTACTTCTGCTTGAATCTAACTATATTATATATATAGTCTTCACACTTAGCCTGCAATGGCCCTTGTTTACTTCCAGCTTCATCAGTTGTAGTTCAGGAACCTGTGACTGCAAGACAAAATTTTTTTTTTCATGTAAACAGTCAGAATTATTCCGCTGTCAGAATTTTCATTTCAAATGGAAAAAGTTTATAAATATATATATATTATCAAGGTAGAAATATGACTACTCTATATAAATAAGCTCATTAGCACCATATCCGAGAGAGATTATTAGTGGCAGAAGTAGCTGATTTTTTAAATATTTAATAGCTATTTAATTATATTTGATTCTAATGCTTTAATAGTAATTAAAAAATTAATTTATCTCTCCTCGTCAACACTACGTACGAAGCTTTAGAGCTTTCTCAAATTTTTTGAGTTTTTTTTTTTTTTTTTTTTTAAACACAGTATTTTTATAATTACCATACTCCAACGATTTGATTATAAAAATATAACTCCCCATCATAAATATTAAAAAAAACAATTAAAAAAAAACATCACATAGATGTGTGATAACAGAAAAATAAAATAACAAAAACTGTCACGAACAGGCTCTTAGTAAAAAAAGGGGCTCCAAACAGATTCTTAATAGAACAAGACAATAAAACTTAAAAGAGATTTTGGCTGTACATAAAAGAAGGAACTAATACTGCTATTATTATAAGGAAAACACACTTTTTTAAACAAGACAGATGCAACATCACCGGAAGAAGAAGACTCCATATCCAGTGAATGCGACCCCTTCCCACTTTTATATTTTTTAAAAAGGTTATTATCGTAGCTCATCATAAGAATTTGACTGCCCAAAAGCTTGGAAGTCATTAGAAATGTCACTCATGAATAGTTTAACACCACATCAAGCTAATGATATCATCAGTGGAACGGCTTTTTTCTGCTTTTTTAGTATAAAAATTAAATTTTTTTACTAAAAAAACTACTTTAAGAAGTAGCAATGATGTATTGATAGTTTAAAGCAATTAAACACAGCAGCCATGAATCATAATTAGCTATATTTTCTGAAACTTTTGTTATTTGATACATATTTCTAAAAAATAGGTATATTTTAATAATTTTTTGCTATTTGATACTTTCAAAAGCAAGTATTCATTTTATATTATTTTCAAATAATTATATTAATTTAGGTGTTTCAATTAAGAAAAAGTTTTGAGTTTGAAATTTTTATATATGGTGTGTGTAATTATTTGAATTTAACGGTAAAAATAGTGTTAACGGTTACTTCTTACGTACCTTTGCTCTTCATTGCCTCCAGTGGAACGGTAGTTGGGGTATGGGACGTGGCCGGACTCGATTCTGCGCACATCTTCGAGGAGGCGTTCATAGTGGAGCCGTACATCGTCGACGGACTTTCCGCCGCCGACAAAGCGAGCGACGTTTTGCCATCGATCAGGCGTGTCTTTGTCGTACACGGCGAGGGCTCGCTCGAAGAGCTTGTTCTGGCTCTTCGACCAGCCGGAGCTTGAGTTGCGAGAGGCGGTGGAAGAAGCCATTGATGTATGGATCGAAGAATAGGGAGCTTGGTTGTTCTGGTTTGGGATGTTATGAGGGACGGAGGGGTTACTATATATAGGAGGTGGAGGGGCAGTGGGGAAGTGGGTGGTGCCAGTTGGCGAATAATGCTATTGCTAGGAGTTGATTAAAGAGGGGAAGTGAGAGAAGAAGGTATGAGCCCATTCTCATTTTAGGCCACAAGATATTTTGGAGCTGAGTGATGGGAATCATCTTCTTCGTCTTAATTGACAGGAATACAGTGATTATTTTTCACGATTTTTTCATATACAAAAGAGAAAATGAGCATATAATCTATACTACTATATAAGTATAGTTTGAGATTCCTCCCAAATATAATCATATATAATCTTCAATTTAATTTATCAAAGATGAATCTAAATATTTCTATTTATTTATACATTTAATAAACTTATTTATTAACTTCATTTATTAATCAAAATGTATGAAGTTTTTTATTTTATTTATTGCATTTAAGTAAGAATCAATTAGTGCATTTAATTATATTTATTTTTATATTCAATTAGGATTAATTAATATATTTATTTTTATTATTTCTTAATTAATACCTACTCTAGAAATTAATAATATAATTCATTAAAAATGTCATGCAAATGTATCATTAATAAATAATTTTTAATACCTACTCCAGCAATTATACATTTATATTACTATTACAAAAGCTGCTTAAATTGTCTTCCATAGTAAATTTATACTTTTCATTTTATTTTTAAAAAATTATTATAGCCTTTCATTACATTTTTAAATTTTAAAAATTATAAATTTTACTTATTCCAAATTATTATCGACATTAATTAATTATTTTAATTATATTATATTAATTACCATGGTTATAAATATTGACTATTTATTTCTTTAAATTAAAAAAAAAAATAGGTTTATAAATTAGCTATCCTGAAATGATAGATAATTATTATAATTAATTGGTATTTATAACTATATTTATTATTTAATTAAGGTTAATTGTTTGTATTAATTTGTGATATGTTTACAAATATACCTCTCTCCAAGGAGCTTATGACATCATTTACATTAGTAGTAACGTAAATCCATAAATCATAATAATTAATATATTTAAATATAATAGGCAGTATATATTAATTACATAAAAATTTTGAAATATGCTAATTTTTCGATGACCACCCTAATAAAAATTAGAATTTTAAGTTTTAAAGTTTATATAGAAGTAATATTTTGGTCAGGCTTTTGATATTTTTAGAAAAGCTTTTTAATGAAGAGTGATTAAAAAACAAAATGTTGTTAAAATAAAATAATTGCATTTTTAACTATATTAATATGATTAAACATCATTGAAAATTATGATTGCAAGCTAATAGTGTGATTTAAATATTACAATTATTATTGTGAGGATGCTACCATAGCAATATTATATTTATAGGCAATAGATGATGGTGATAAGTTTTTACTTTTTATGAGATTTTCTTTTTTATGAAATTAATAAAGGAGAATATCATAAATAACAGGAAAATATTATTCTAATAAATGCTATAGATTTGTATCATAATTACTAATCATATGATAATATTGATATGGTATGAGTCCTATATAATAACTAGTAACTCTAATATTATATAGTATGAGTCCTATAGCTCAAGTTTCTAAAATTGAAACAAATGAAAAAGCCTATAGTGATATAAGAGTGATTTCTTTTTATATCTACCTAAGCACATAGGTGTTATATTAATTTAGAGGGGAAATTTTTTTTTTATTATTTTGAATGAATTTAATAGCAAATTCATTTATAGTGTGGTGGGAAGGCTCAGCTCTCCAAATTTATCCTGAATAGGGGAGACGTCGGGAGGCTGTCGAAATTCCTATTAATAAAGGACATGACTTAAACAAATGACGGAGGACCAAAATGTGAACAAATCACAGGGAATCAAGCATGCAACAATAGGGAATTGGACCTAATGTTCAACAAAAAAAATGCAAACTAAAATGTCTAAAGTGAAATGCAAGAAATAAGTTTCAAAACAAAAATGGCAACGATTAGCATTTAATACAAGTAGGGGACTGAACAATAATAGAGAATTCATTATGAGTATAATGGCTTACAAATGAAGGACCAAAGCAAATTTAAATTGAATAAAGCTGTTTAACTATAGATGAAGACGATGGACTGCATGTAATTATTATTTACCTATAAACAAGGATTAAATAGTCGATGTGCAACGAAAGTAGTGGCACTCCTATAGTTAATGCTAATCAACATGCGAGCAAACACACCAATTCCTATGAACACTGAAGATTAATATGCAATGAAAGTTAACTTGCAAGAGGAATACATTACACGCCTGTAAACAACAATGCTCCATGCAAGAACTAACAAGCAACAATCACTTGTGAATCAGTGAAGAATGCAACTCAACCGGTGTTCCACGATGACATAAAAATGAACACACTAAACTTTCATGCAAATGGTGGTATTCCCTATAGACATACACATAGTGCTTGCAATAAATGTTAGGGTGTTCATATGTCGACAATAATCAAACTTTCAGCAAATACATTGATATCTTGTGTGTAATAGCAACGAGCCCATGATAAATACGAGCACATACAAACTACCATAGAAGGCTCGTCATGTACACAACATGTTATCTACGAACAAATGCAGAAAATGTGTAGTAAATGCAAACGCCTATAAACAGCATTAGAAGAGCTACATACCCAGTAACTTGCCTGAATGTGACAGTATAAGGGTCGTAATGCATACAACGGTCCTCTCTACAAGCAATGACAGTGGATGTGTTGTAAATGTGATGAATTCCATACAAGCTAAGATGGTGATCTTTGGATATCCATTGATGACTCATAAACATATTCAATAAAGCTCGTAGTACACAACGGCTTGCCTGCAATAAGCAATGGTTGACTTGTGCCACAACTCGACGACTCTCCTATAAGAAAATATATGTTGAATGTAGTCCACCTTCATGCAACAACAAGCAAATTTTGAACATCTGCTAACGACACAATACCAACGGACAAATTCAAAAAAGTCATAAACACTACGATTCACCTGTAAGCAGAAGCAGGAGATTTGTAGTAAAAATATACGATGCACTGGTGGAAGGCTTTTAATGGGTTGTACAACACTGCCGACCAAAATACACTCATGCGCATTGAATCTTGAAGATGATGATGACATGCAGAAGACGAAATGAGCTAAATTGCACTGCCAATGCACTACAAATAAAACACAGTGCGTTGCTAAATAATGCCACTAGATTCATAATATTCGTACAAACAGGTAGAAGGCATTTACAAGCTCATAAATAAAAAAATTATGCATTTTTCAAATGATCATCGCCTACACAGTTGGTTATATTCAAATATTGCAAGAGCACCCCCATGCATTAAAATGTGCACTGATGCATTCACATCTTGCACATACACATTGAAAAATATGGAACACATCATGTAAGCAAACTATCCAATGTATAAAAATATACTACGCAGCAGCAACGCGTTATGTTGACTTATAAATATATCATGCACTACATGCAAGTGTTGAATCATCATGCTAATATGTTTACCTCCTCTGACTAAGTATACTAAGGACCAAGATGACTCGAGATGATGGAACCATGGGATCTTGATCGGGTCTATCATCACTCCATTCATCATCAGCTTTACATTCAAGGTGATAAATTTCCAGATTTAAATTTAAATTTTAAATACCTAAGCATAATGCTACTATACATCAGGTACTATGTATCTATTTGACGACTAGCCTTAATCGAAAGTTCTCTCTCATTATCTGGAGGGTAATTAATTATAAGGGATTGCGCCTATATATATGAAACATGAACTCAAAGCATAAGTTCTCGCAAAAGGAGGGTGAAATCTCTCGGTAATATCTTATTCTAAACTCAATCGGCCTTCTGAAAATTTGCCTAGGAGCTTACTTCGTTAAAACTCTCCTCGTCCTACATCACACATCATAGAAAAAAGAAATTGGGTCAAAGGGAGGCCGGGGCACGAATTTTCTGAGCCCCCAATAGTTGGACCTATCAAGTAGCTGCCATGATTGGTGCACAAGATGTCAAAAGAAGAAAAATGAATCTTGACCTACGTTTAATTAATTCTTTATGTATTTTAGTTATCTTAAAATAAATTCAATAACTTAAAAGATCTATCTTGATCAAAATTTATCAAATATATTGGTCTAATGATTTATTCATTTAATTTAATTCATTACGATTAACATATTATGAGTTAGGGAAAAGAGTGTCGTCAACCTAGAAATTCAACTACTCAAAATGTGAGGGGGGAGGGGCTGTTACGGGATTCGAGCCCAGTGATCAAAGTGGAGAAATTTCTTCTGTCGACCACTCGGCCACAGACCCAATCTCACCTTTTTCATATATAAACCTACATTTTCATTCATACGCATAAAAAAAATTCTATAAATTCAACTACTCAAAATGTAATAGCAACTGTGTAAGATAGCCCCTTGAAAAGCAAACAATAATTGAATAAATAAAGAAAAGCGAAGGATTGTGAGGCCTACCATAAGACAACAAATCATGACATCTCATCCTTAAACAATTCCATCATTGCGAGAATCAGTCAACTCCTGTGATTTATAATTATAAAATTATCGCCTCAGTATTGCGCTTTGGAATCTTAGAACGCAGAAATATCGGCTAGCAAGAACCCAAAAAGTTGAGATTCAGAAAATCAAAAGCTTAGCAACTTGGAGCTGAGGAACCTTCTCGAGGACCATAGATGTAGTGACCCTGGACCTCATCAAATTGATTCAGCTTAATTTTATCAAGATTATGAGTTAGCTGACATTTTTTTTGTTGATGAGTGTCAACTCTCTAATTAAAATTAAGGTTTTATTTGGGACGAAATTTTTACTGTTTCTTAAAGCAAATTTTTAATGCAAAAATTTAAAATTGTATTTAAAAGTTATTTTAAGAAGCAATAAGAAAACTGCCCAAACGAAATCTATGTATTGCAGAAATGAGGATACTCAAGGTGAATTAGTGGATTTACTTTTATAGACAGAATGTTAAACGAGTATAAAAATGAAAAGATTGGAGTAGGTGTAATGACAGATAAGACATTAGTCTTCCAATGAGCCGATTAAAAGAGTAGATATATTAGATAGGCCTAAAAGAATTTGGTTGGACAATATTAGAAATGATTTTTTTTTTATAATATTTAAATGAAAATTTTACTACACAGAAGGAAAAAAACAAACTCTTGTAGCCAACCCCCATTGCAGGATAAAAATTTTATGGTATTATTATTGTTGTTGTGCATACTAATGTATTAGCACAATAATGTTTAGTTTAGTTTTACAACTCTTATAGAATGCAACTTTGTAATATGTTATTGGGGACGGATTTTTTACTGCTTCTTAAAGCAATTTTTTAATGCTAAAATTTAAAACTGTACTTAAAAGTTATTTTAAGAAGCAATTAAAAAACTGTCCGAAAAGAAATCTCAGTATTGCAGAAATGAGGATACTCAAGATGAATTAGTGGATTTACTTTTATAGACAGAATGTGTAACGAGTATAAAAATGAAAAGATTGGACTAGGTGTAATGACAGATAAGACATTAGTCTTCCAATGAGCCGATTAAAAGAGTAGATATATTAGATAGGCCTAAAAGAATTTGGTTGGACAATATTAGAAATGATCTTTTTTTTATAAAATTTAAATGAAAATTTGACTCTTAATATGACACAGAAGAAAAAAAAAAGTCTTGTAACCAACCCCCATTGCAGGATAAAAATTTGATGGTATTATTATTGTTGTTGTGCATACTAATATATTAGCACAATAATATTTAGTTTAGTTTTACAACTCTTATAGAATGCAACTTTGTAATATGTTATTGGCCTTCAAGGAACTTTGCTAGCTTAATTAAAAACCCTATTTCTTGAAAACGTTGTAAGAGGATTACAGAATGACCTCTATAACTTTAGCCTACAAATCCAATGGTCAATCCATTAAGAAAAAAAATTAATTTCAGTTGGTCTTTACACAGAATGTGAAACCTCTCAAGCAAAAGAAAGCTAACTCTTAAACATCAAGGCATCTTTTGGTATAATGGCTGGAATTTCCGTAAGAAACTTCGCAGCTAAGCGTGTTTATCCCAGAGCAATTATGGGATGGGTGATCTGCTAGAAATTTACACCAACAGAACAAAACTATGAGGCTCTTAGATCAAAGCGAACAATATCTCGATAGTTAATAGTTTGGGCTCTTACAGGGAATCTTCGCGAGACATACAGATTCAATAAACTAAAGTACTTAACTCGTTACGTGGTGGTTTAGGATCCATGGAATGAATTGGCCTTCACATACCAACTTGCTTCTTAGACAGGGAAATGGCACAAGAAACTGCACCAGATACTCTGTTACAAGCTAGTGGTCCTTTAGACAAAGATTCCTATTGATATGTAGAATCATTATCTCCTCAATCTATGACCATAGATTCCTTCCTTTCAATCTCCATATGTATTCATGTCCTTCTCCGCCTCGCGGTCCTTCCTCACAAGTTGGAGTGCTGTCTCTACTATCCATCTCATCAGAATCTCCTGCAAATCCACTTGATGTACACAGCTCCAAATCTCTCAGCACGGTTTATAAGGTGTTAGGCTTAATCACAACTATGAAAATCATATTATCTTTTCAGAGAATCTTGGAACAAAGTGCATATATTACAATCATTGTTTGACGAAGCATAAAGGAAGACAGGAAAGTATGATCTCTGGAATCAAATCAAGAGACGTATGGTGTATAGTCACCGCAGATTATCGAGAGATTATTCTGTGCGGACACCAGACAGTTCTCCCATCCGGTTCCGCGCACCGAGCGCTGGGTACCAAGCGCGGTACATTTTTTGGCGCGACGAGACGTATTTTTATTGTTCTCTGGACGAATCCGGACCCGCGCGTAATAATTTTTCCAGATTATCAGGAATGTGTTATTCTTCATAGAAGAAATATTTTGGATGGTATGCTCCTAAGGAAATCTATTTAGTTGATATTGGATTCATGGTTGCATCAAGCTTGATTACAGAGAAGTGGGTGACAGCAATAAGCTTATGAGCACCAGTCATTGGAAACAAATATTCCTTGCATAATCTTAGATGATAAGAGATGATAAGACAGCTTTTTGAAAGCGTTGTCATTTTTTTTTGGACTAAGCTCTTGTGCTTGGCAAGGAGATAAGATATGGAGATTAGAAGAATATGATGCTATTTCCAAACCAGAAGATATTTTCCAAAATTTATAATGGAGCAGTATCTACTTTTCAGTACAACTTTTGTATTGTCTCGTTGAAGATTAAAGAAAGAAGAAAGCAGATTTGATTTTGATTTAGTAAAGAAAAAAGTTTCACCTTATCAGACGAGGCTTTCTGATTCAGAGCATTTTAGCATAGTTAACATGTATGATTGGGAATTGAAGATGGAAATTGTGGTTCTATAATCAATATACTAATCAAGAGCTAACAAGTATGGAAGATAAGTTGATGGAAGTAGAAAGAATTGTATCTGCGATGTAATAACTATGATTTTATTGTATAGTTTTTGTGCATGAAACTAGTGTCCAAGATCCAATAAATTAACGTAGACTATGAATAAGGTGTTATGTTAAAAAGAGTTGTTATATATTGTCTTCATAAAATGAGACAAATGAATTAGGAAAATTGTAGTGTAATTAAAATACTATAATATCTACTTTATGGCGAAGATGTTTTGTAATTTACACTTGCAATGACTCTTCAAAAAATTTATTTAACTGGGTCAAAATATGAGTTATTGCATAGCTAACCATTCAAATAATCCGACAAAGGTCTTAAGGTTTTCTTCCATTCATCCCCAAGTCTTGCACGTATCTGACGATACCTACTTTTGCGGTCAATTTTGAAAAGCAATTAGCCTCGGAAGCCAAGTCAAACATATCATATAACCAAGGCATAGGTACACTATACTTAATGATTATTTTATGAATAACCCAACCATCTATACACATCCTCTGAGGTCCATCTTTTTCTAAAGTCAAAAGAGCAGGTGCAGCACAAAAGTTTAGGCTTTTTTGGACAGAGATTCTTTTTAATGATTCAACTACATATCCTTTGAGTTCAACATTCTATGTAGGATTCAACTTATAATCTAGGAGATTTAGAAGCTAAATTATAGGACAAAACTTATAGCATGTTGAATTGTAAACGTAGGAATTTTGTCTAGTAAATTATCAAGAACTACACTAAATTCAAATAAGTGTGATCAAAACATGTATATGAATCTCATTTTGTTCGTGGATGACATCTTTCACATTATATATGTGAAAAGAAGTTATACATGAAAACCCGATCCGAAAACTCTCCCCTTAAATGGTTAAATCCTTCTTTTCTTTTTTTTCTAAATCAATCTCAAGGATGGCTATAAAGGGGGAACAATCATTGTTACTCGTCTCAGATATGAAATCTAATTCTCCAATAGTAGGAGGTTTTATCATGAGTGGTTGGATTATAATTTTTTTGTGGAATTGACTTGGGCTAAAGGTCAAAGATGGGTTCATGTGGTGCAAAGGTTGTGATCTTTTCTATAGGCTAGACAAGATATCATTTTATGCTTTTATTTTTGTAGTTGAAAATCTAGATATTTTCATAACCATAATATGTGACACTTATATCGAAAATTCTAAACGTCCCTGAAAGTATGCACATTATATATCAATGGGATAGAAATCACACCAAATCCTATCCTCATAACTATCCATTTTGATGGGCACCAAACATCTTATAGTGATTGGTAAAGATGTGGTTAACCCCACTTATATGAAAAGGTTTTGAAGGAGACTCTATCTTAAGATTGGCTTTAGTCAAGATGAGTGTGGATATTAAATTCATAACATTGCCTCTATCAATTATCAAACTACATCTCTTTTCACTGTACACTATATACATGCTAAAGATGTTTGTTCTTCTCTAGTCTTCAATAGTGTTCTTAATTATAGCTAAAAAACTCAAGACCCCTAAATAGGCTTCTCCTAAAATGTCATCCTCATCACCAATTAGGGTGATTTCTTCATAAATCAGGTGTTTTGTTTCAACCTCATCATAATCATGATAGTCTTCCTCTTCTAAGAATAGGATCTTAGCCCTACATGAATTTTGCATGTGACTTTTTTTTAATTGCAGTTGTAGTAGATGATATCCTTAGTGTACTTTGAAACTACCTTTAGGAAAAGTCCTAGTGGACTAGTTTAGTCTAATAGTAGATCTAAAGGTTGAACTGGTTTGGTGTTTGTTGAGACTTAACCCATAGATATGGAGATGGTCCGTTTTTTTCTTTGTGCTTTTCGACAATGAGAGCATAGTGGAATGCATCCTCCAATGCTCATTGTCAAATAATTTTACCTCATTCCAAATGCTTAGTCTAAGATCAATCACAAATTTATAGATCAATTGTCAATCACTATCTTCACAGTGGTTTCTACTACCAAATACTCAAAATTGTTCCAAGTATTATGTGACAAGAAGGTTTCCTTACTTAATGGTGAGGAATTTTTCATGCAATTTTTTATCATGGTATCTTGGGCAATACTTGTTCTTAAGCATTTCTTTCATTTCAACCAAAGTCAAGTTGGCCCAACCTCTCCTTTCTAACTTAGCCATTAGGTTTGTCCAATATATTTTAGCATGGCCTACTAGTTTCATCCTAGCAAATGTGACACTTTAGTACTCATCCATTGATTCCAATAAAAATAATCATCCATTTGCACTAGCTAATCTAAGACCTTATCAAGGTCATGAACTCCATCATATGTGAGGGCCTCTATCTTAGTTCTCCCAGATAGGTCATTATAGTCTTCATTTTACCTATGGTGATCATCCTTAGCACCATTTATTTGTTTGGGATCTCCTAGTAGGCTCGTCTCTAGTTGAAGGAGGTGATTTGGGCTAACATGTTTTGATTTATTATATTCTAACAATTAGGCCTCCCACTAACTTGGTCGCATATTCTAAGTACTCGATAGATGCTATTCTAGGAGGCATGCCTACAATCTAGATTTATATACAAGATTTTGAAAATAATATTGAGACTTTTGGGCTAAAGTTTGTTGAAAATAAAAGAAATACAAAATGAATTAAGCAATACTCAACTAAAAGGAATTTCCAGGTGATGTCACTTCCATCTCAAGCTCTCTTTAGACAATTTAAGTATTTTTGACAAAATCTCCTACAACCCTAACAATTACATATTTTTTTTATCTATAATCTAAAAAAGAACATAAATTTTGTTAATGAAATGCTATGCATGTAAAATGATGTTTTTTATTTTTAAACTTGAGCATTTTCTGCTTTCGTTTAGGAAACAAGATAGTCTTGAGCAATTTAAATTGTATCACATGCAACAAATTAAAATATGCAGCCATCAAATAAAATTTATATTTCTAAAAACATTGAAAATTCAATGGCGGGCAATTTGAAGGTGGATCACTCCCTTACTAAAGGTTTCACTCAAATAATAAGTCTAAACTGTAAAGGTTGGCTCACAAAAGCATAGCTGGCTAGGCAATTTATGTAGAGTTAATCTAATTGGAACTTCACATTATCATTAATGACTTGCATATAACATCTCAGATGTTTCTAATCCCAAACAAAATTTAAATCATCAAATTAGAGATATAAAATCAACTTTCTAGATAAGAGTGTTACCCCTTGGTATAAGCAATTCTACCAAACAATTGTGTATCTTCAAACTGATAGTTGCCTTCCTCCTAGCTCCTAGCCTAGCTCTAATAACAAAATGGTGGAGTGTGGATACCAAGGATGATGACCCACTAATGTGGAGGGCTTCTTGAACTCTCAAATAATATTGAAATGATGGTAGAGTGGTAGCTCAAGCTTTGGACTTAAGATGAGTGTTGGATGCGAAAGCTAGAGTTCAAGGGCCTTGCATGCAATGGAGCTCATCAAGTTTGTATGGATTCGAGAGTAAGTTAAAAATTCTCTTCTTCTTCTTTTTTCTCTTTAATACTATTGGGAATTAGTTGAGGTGGTGGAGAGTTGATCTGGAGTTTTAGTTGGAATGGTGAAACCTTTGGAGGTTTTGTGGTGGTGGGAGATCCAAAACTAATTTGATTTGAGCTAGGGCTAATTTGAATTAGCTCTTTAAAAGATGGGGATGATATCGAGTATGCGGGCTTATTTTCAGGGGGCCATGATGGGTGAAGAGATTGGCCAAGGATGACTAATCTGAGTGCACACGATGGGGACTAATTTCGTGTAATGATAGTGGAGGCTAAGGTGGAAATGTAGAGATTGTTTAGTGGTTGTTTTATGTTGCAAGGGATGTGATGGAATGTAAGGAAGAGTTATTGAGTGAGTACGTATGTAATTTATTAGTGGAGAGCAAATTTGTACATAGTACATACTATGGGAAGCAACATAAGTTATGCCCATCAGCAATCGAGAGGCTTCCAAGGAACTTGTATGCATGGTTGGGGCTTAGAGGAAGGGCGAGAGTGTTATTAGGAATGAAAATGTTTGCTTAGTAGTGAGTGAAGATATTTTGAGAGAGGAGGATGAGTATTAAAACTTCCTCCAGAATCTTCAAGAGGTGAGGGGGCCACCAAGTACAAAGATCTCTAAATTTTGAAAGCATCCAAAAAATAAATTTTTAATCATTCACGCTACTATTTATAGCCTAATAAAACCCATTCAAAATTCCGATTTTGGAGGAATAATCTTGTGGAGGAGGAAGCAGGCAATGACAAAAAATGACAATATTAAATGTTTATGACAAAATCCATGACACCAAGGCATGGCCAACACTTCGACTCCCCCTCAAGAAACTTCTTTACAACTCACACAAGCTTACATCATTTAAAAAAAAATTTAAATTTTCAAATTTTAAAATATGGACCAAAAGTTCAACATCCATCATGATAATAGCTTGGGCTTGGGAGCCTATATTGGGATCTTGTCCAAGCACTTTGAAAATTTATTTGAGCTTCCTTCTTGCTTCTTACGGATTCCTCCATGGCTACCTAAGTCATGTGCTTGAGTTCATGGATGTTCTGCATCAGTGGTCCCAGCAAAAGTAGAGCAGCAGCTAAAGAATCAATGCCCTCAATTAACACACTAAACGCCAATACTTGAACAAATTTACTAATTACTGACATGAAAATCTTTTTTACATTAACTAGAGAGAGAAAGTAAGGACGGATGAAGGATGGCCCACAACACTCCTGTAACTATGTATAATATGAAAGATTTGCCCTCCTTAAATTATCCGATTTGTAAAAGTTCTAATTCTTCCACTGCTTAAGAGGCAGACGAGGATGATTCAAACTCAGTGTATACTTCAACAATTTATTGTGATAAAGAACAACTGAATTCTTGCATATGTTGGCTACTACACATCACGTGCACAATCTACTCACCCAAATTCCTATTGATATTTTAAAATGGCTCCAAGGATTGAACAGAGCAGTCAAAAGCTGCTTTGCGTAATTTCCTTAATTATACAACTAGCACGCACCTACTCTATTATTGTCAAGAACCATTGGAACAGTATGATAAAGAAAGAGCGCATGAAAGCATTCTTTCATTTAAAATTGAAAAAATTGAAAAAATTAAAAAAATAGTACATCTGCTGTCCATTGAATACACAAGTAGCCATAATCAGAAATATAGAATGCTGAAGAATGAAAAAATAAGTTTAATACCCATTCATCTTTAAAAGGAAGTTTCACAAGACCAGCCTTTTGCATTTAGGGAGACAGTAGATTCTACAGATTGCATTACCACAAACTGATGTCTTTGTGAACCAACAATCTTGTTTTCACTTTAGGAGTGCAACTGCTTATGAATGCTCCTCACCTGATGGTTGAATAAGTAATGAACTCCTTCGAAGTAAAATGAAATGGCTGATTAGGAACAGGATTCCTGAAACATAGAATAGTTTTAAGGGAAATATATAGAGAAACAAGCAGAATTATGATGGATGAAATTCATAGGAATAGTTTTAAGGGAAATATATAGAGAAACAAGCAGAATTATGATAGATGAAATTCATAAAGAATACAGACGTACGGTCGAGGACCATATATTTTGATCTGTCGTATGTGGGTATCTCTCCCATTCAAGTGATTGGATAGAACGGCAATTTGGAGCATGAAGGTGTGGATAAACGTATCACTGAGAAGATAAAAATAAGAGCACAATTGATGAGTACTCCTATCAAAATAACAACCCAAATTCCAAGGATTCAATAAAGCTAACAAACATTCTGATGGCTAGCCAGAATAGGGGGTTTCAGAATAACAATACATGCCACTTATAAGTTCAAGAAAAATAGTTGAATTGCAAGTGTTTTTTACTTTCACTTCACAAAAATCTATGATGTAACGACACTTCTTCTCAAAGAGATATGCAGTATTCAACACGTATCGAACACAACATACGTCCAACACACCTCCGACACATGTTGGATATGCCGAAGCCCGAAGATGTGTCCAATTAAAAAATATAAAAATAAATTGAACACATAAGTCCAACACTCATGTCTTATATATTTTATGAACAAACTTTTTTTGAATATAATTTCTTAGACGTCAAATTTTCATTTATTAAAAAAATAAAAATTATATTTGTTATTTCATCTCCACAGCCTCAAATCAATTGTCGGCATTCAATACCCTCGTCCCTAAAAATTCCCATTTTCATTTCTCTTTAGCAGAATGCTAGAGTTTCACAACGCTCGATGTCATCTCAACATAGACGTCCGATGCCGTCACAGCATCAATGTTTCAAAATCAGCTAAACATCAAAATATGACGTTGTTTTGACATGCAATTGGCCCCCATATCACTAAATAGCAAATATTATTCTTAAATTTATGTTTCTTATCAACCAATGTAGGTATAATAGCAATAATTCATCAGTAATATTAAGCATGATCAATTCATTTTTATTTTAGCAAATTCAACTCTATAGGAATGAAATATATTGCAACTTCTAAAGCAATCTTCAGAGTTATAGATTGAGTTTGAACATTCGCCAACATTATACCTCCAACTGAATAAAGAAATATAATTTTGAACTGTATAATACCTACGTTATAGTTGTCTAGCATCTTAGTTTAACTGATCTCACATAAATTGCAACTTTTGTCATTTCATTAATTAACCCTATTATATTATGCTTCTAGTTGACACTATAATACAATCTAAGCTCTAATATCAAATCTGATGAATGGTCTAGAGCTTTCTAATAGATGAATAAAATTGTACACATCCGGTCAAAATTACAATCACTAATTTCTAATTTAATCTAGAATTTTTCACTCTAAATGAAGATCAAAAATATACAAAATTTGAGTAAATAATAATTTAGTAATCAAGTGTTGAAAAATTATTGGACCTGACCTAATGATATTCCAATATAGGAGTGGAAATGCTTAAGAGATGAATGAATTTCTTAGCTTACGAAATTTTTCAATGTTATTTTGAGGACTAAAAAAATGTCAGATGAGTGGAGAATGAATGTGTCGATTCTTTTTTTTTTAAGAATAAAGATGATGCACAATAGTGTACAAATTATAGATGAATTAAAATAATGTGTCATACTTTAAAACTATGAGAGAGAGTTTTTGAGAATAGGCTACAATGTGATACTAATATTTCTCAAAATCAATTTGGATTCATGTTGGATAGGTCTACTATGAAAGCTATACATTTATTGAGATGTTTGATGGAGAAGTATAGAGAGAATAAGTAGAATCTACATATGATATTTATTGATTTAGAAAAAGCATATGATAAAATTACAAGAGAAGTGCTTAGATAGTTCTAGAAAAGAAAGGGGTTAATAATGCTTATATTCAAGTCAATAAGGATATGTATGCAAGAGTTGTTACTTGTGTTCAAACAAAATGTGGTTTTACCAAGTATTTTCCTATTTCGGTTGGATTACATCAAGGATCGGTTTTAAACCCATATCTTTTTGCTCTAGTCATGGATGTTCTTACTAGACATTTGCAAGAGGATGTACCATGGTGTATGCTTTTTGCTGATGATATTCTTCTTGTTGATAAGACTAGAGAGGAAGTTAAAGATAAACTTGAACTATGGCGGTTAACTTTAGAATCTAAAGGTTTTTATTTGATAGATCTAAAACTAAATATATGGAGTGTAACTTTAGTAATAATAGATCTAGTGAGGGGACTGTGACTTTGGATAATCAAGTCATTAATAAGAGAACATGTTTTAGATATCTCGGGTCTATTGTTCAAAGTGATTGTGAAATAGATGGGGATATTATTATAAAAATTCAAGTTGGATGGTTAAAGTGGATGAATGCATCGTTCAATGCTTGATGGCGCATAATGTTGGTCATTAAAAGACAAGCATGAAATTAAGTTAAGTGTTGCAGAGATGAGGATGCTCGGGTGGATGAGTGGCTTCACTCTTAGAGATAGAATGTGAAATGAGTATATATGTGAGAAGGCTGGAGTAGCTCCAACGACATATAAGATAAGAGAGAGTCGCCTTAGATGGTTTCATCACATACAATGTCTGCCTTCCAATGACCCAGTTAAAAGAGTAAATGTATTAGAGTTGGCCTATGTTAAGAAAGGTAGAGATGGACCTAAAAGACTTAGTTAGAAAATTTAAAAAACGACATTTTTATTAGATTTAAATGAAAATTTGACTCTTAATAGAACACAATGGAGATGAATGATCCATGTAGTCAACCCCTCGTTATGGGATGAAGGCTTGATATTTTTGTTGTTGTTGTTGATAATTTAGCAATCAAAACAAAAATCCCTTATAGAAATTTCTAATTATTAAGAATTACATATATGATCAAAACTGATGCAGTTAAAAAAACATATTGTAACATTTTTTTAATCTTCTAGGGCAATTTTGTTTTCTATGATGGTTTAGTTCTTCCATATTGATGTGCTTCTTATATCTCTATTTTCTAGAGTGAAACTTGCAACTCTATTTTGACCATGACTTTTATTGTTTAGATTCATAACCTATATGACTTACTATTTACATATTCCTTGTGATAAGTAGGGGTGACAATTATTGACCCGACCAGATAACCCGACCAGATAACCCGACCCGAAAAATCTAAGTCCGGGTTGACTCATTTAACAAACGGGTCGAACCAAGTTTGTCTGCTATTTTAATCATTTTGCATCATCTTGTTCAATAGGTTTTCAAGAAAGAAATTTCTTAACCAAACTACTCTAACACCTCCCATAAATCTTCAAATCTCAATAGATACTTCATTAAGATATAAAGCTTAACCTTTAAGCATTTATTAAAATCAAACTCACCCTCACTTTATAGATAAATGTATATTATACTTCATGATTGTGTTCATTATGCCCTTATTAAAAAAAAAAATCTTACTCAAAACTCGCATATTATAGCTTCTTAGTAGTTACACTTTTTTTAATGTATGCACCTTAAACAAAGATCTTATTATTAATAATCTTAATATATCTAACTTGATTAAAGTCTCAAAATATTTTTACTCACAATGGATACTTTTTAAATCTTCTTCTTCCTTAATACTTAGTTAACTCTTTAAATCATCAAGATTTGTACCTTTAACTTTGCTTACTATCCTCTTTAGAAAAATTTTAGCTTTCGTTACAGGCATGCAAAGGGACAAAGTGCTTTATAATAACTGATAAAAAGGGGGTAAAACAAAAATAAAATATAATAACAAAGTTGTAACCTTGCCTTAGATGAAATACTTTCTTAACCCAAAATACATGTTTTTCCCCCTTTTATGTTCACTCATCATTTGAAAATAAGTTGAAACATGCAATAATCAGAATAAACTAGAGCATGACATCATAAAGCAATTCCAGTTTTTAAAGGGTAACCTCACCCAGTAGAAGCTTAAATCAATTGTATAAAAACAATTTCATTGATCAAAAAGAACAAATACAAATATCATTGATGTTTGTTTGGAAAGCAACCACCTTTGTACGCTCTCCACCGTAGAAGAAATACATAAATCAAGTTATGCATGCAAACAAATTTTAATAAGTTTTAAAAAAAAATCTAAATAGTGATTATTGAGGCTGAAGCTGATTGAACTAACCGGGGATCTGTTCCTGATAGGGATATATGAACCCAACCAACAGGCTTCACAAGCTCTACGGTTTTAATCTCCTGGCACGACAGATATACAAAAAGAAAGGATTCTTATCAAAAAGAGATGTTAATTGCACTCACCACATCAACACATTTTCAACATTCATTTTTTATAAATATGTAATTAAAAATTTTTATATTTGCTCACTATCTGCTCATACGTTGCACTCCTATTATGTCTAATTTATCAAATGGGATACATGTTGAAAATGTGTTCGACTTTAAAGGCCTGTGGGAAGCATTGCTCCATTAAAAACTACGCTAATTATATAAAAGCACAAACTTAGGTATTTTGAAGGAGGAAAACCCTACTTTCATATTGTGAAAGCCATCACCTGCCCGTATAGAGATTTTGCTTGGGGTATAGCTCTCATCAAGCTTGTAATCAACATAGAGTACCAATAACTGGGAAAAAGAAAAGAAAAAAAATCATCCGTAAATCAAAATTCCTAGAGCAAGCTAGAAAGAAAAACCTAAGGCAGAACATTACATGCAGCTTGACCTTCTTCTGAAACTGAATATTCACCAAATGGGGCTGCGCTCCATCTGATCTGCATCAATAGACTGGGATCAATCAGTAACAAAGCCTTCAAGGAGAAATGGAAGAGAGAGAGAATTGAGAAGGAAGTGTAAGTTAACTGCCAATAGGTCTCGAGGTTGTCATCGCGGAGAGAGGGAACACCGTTACCAGGCTTGCAGGAGCTGACAGACCAAGCCGCTTTCTTTGCCATCTCCCTCGAATCATCATCAACTGCCAAGTTCTGGCTCCCGCTCAGCTTTCCGGTAGTATCTTCTTCGCCGTCTGATTCCGTAGCCATAACTCTCAACTTTTCGCCTTCTCCGCGCTTCTTTTATGTTACTAACAAACCCCGCATGGAAGTAGATCACAACTGGCTATTCCTGTTCGAGACGTACGCAACGGCCGCGACGGCGGAGAATAATCATACTTCGCCTGAGCGAAGAAGTACGAAGATCGTGGCGCCGGCGATAACAAGCTCGGCGGATCGTAGGGCCACTTAAGGGAGATTTACATACACACCACCTTATACTACTATAATCACATATTTAACACTTAATAATATTACATACATACCATCTACAGAACCCGTATTTGTGTTCAAACTTCAAAATAATGCAATCCCCAAAATAAATTCACATTAAATATAATATATAACAACTACTATTAATTAATAGGTTCCTACTAACCCTTCTATTTTTATATATTCATATATTCATAAAATAAATATACAAAACACTCTTTAAATTACTGAACTCATGTATGTATCAAAAAATAAAAAAAAAAATAAGTTAGAGATTTTATTATAAATTTCAATGTGTGAAAACTTTTTAAGAAAAAAGCAACGTGTATGTTAATATCTAAATAAAAAAGATTTAAAAGTTAAATTTCCCCTAATTAATATCATAAAAATTATAAAATAAATACAACAAAAACATCAATCATTTATCTCACTACGTGGGGTCAACTCTTTGAATCTTTTTTCTCCATTATATCATATTAAAAGTCAAATTCTCTTTAAATCTAATAAAAAAATATCATTAATATTTTTTAATCAAATCTTTTTAAGTCTATCTCTATCTTTCTTAACATAAGTCAAATCTAATATTTCTATTTTCCTAACTGTATCATCGTACCATTTTATGTGACCAAATCATCTAAGGTGGCTCTCTCTAATCTTATCTTCCACCGAAACTACTCTAATATTTTCACATATATGCTCATTTCGTATCCTATCTCTAAGGATAAAACCACTCATCCGCCAAAACATCCTGATAAAAATTATAAAATAAATCTTACATTTAATTTTTTTAATATATATATATAACTGCGCTAAACTGGGTATTTAAATTATTAGATTTAAAATCTTTTACCCAAATATAATTATTTTAATTCAAATAAGAGATTAATTCGATAAATTTTTAAGGTATTTCATTAAAATACAAAACGGTTGATTCATATATAAATATTCATATGGTCCATAACTTCAACCATCTTTTCATTAGGACAGCTACTAAATTTAAAATTCATCACAATAGCAATCACAAAATTAGCTGATGTAGCCTCAATGGCTTACAATTTAAATTTGTATTTATTTTAGTATAACAATTTTCAAGTGAGAGCCCCAATATATCTGAACCTACCACTAGAATCAACCTAATAGTCTCAAAGCCAATGCACAGGCATGCAGTCCTGTGGCGTTTTAGAGCCATCTTTTGTCGGCATTTGATCAACAAAGTCCTATTTGCAAAACCAAGTCATGCTGCAGCAGCTTCTCCACATGTAAGACAATCAAAAAAGCTTACTGTGCATGTTTAACCATATTCTGCTTGATAATTACCTCAATTTTAACTAAATTGTACAAGCTCATTTACTTCACAATAAGAACACAAGCTCTAGCTTATCAGATCGCATTCAGTTTGATCCATGGCACCCAGAGGATTTATTATTCTGTGCGGAGTCCAGACGGCATCTGGAGACCAATAAAAATGTGCCGCATCACCCAAAAAATGTACCACACTCGGTACCGAGCTCGGTACCCGCGCTCCGTACCGCTCGATACCGAGCGCGTAACCGGACGGTCTGCACAGAATAATAGCTCCACAGAGAGAGACGTAACTTCTGAATGCAACGAGTTTGCAAGAATAGCAGTTCACATGTATGTCATGCAAGATTAAGAATAACATTGTAATCTGTAGCAAGTAGCCCCGTTCATTGAGGGAAGAAACACAGAATCTTGCTAATCAAACTACATCACCATTATATAAAGATTTACTTTATCTACAAAGGATAAAGAATTTGTTAAGATGAGTGCATTGAATTTACAGAATTTAGAAACGGGTAGCACATGCCTGCCTTTCTGTTTGAAAGCTAGAGCTGGATTAATCCCGTGCTAAGCTGCTTATTGCAGAAGCCTTCTTCCCAGTATACTTCTGTTCAATAGAAAACAACGTAGCTGATCAGAGTGATTTGAGAAACTCAAGAAAAATCAAATTATCTATCTGCTGCTCAATACACTTTCTTTTTAATTGATTAGCCCATCTTGGTGTCAAGAATAAAAAGATCAGTTGCATGCCATGAGGATGCGAGGTAAGAGATATTTAGGCTTCATTTGGGATGGCTTTCTTATTGTTTCTTAAAGCAACTTCCTAGTACATTTTTACACTAAGAAGTTGCTTTAAGAAGCAGAAAGAAAGCCGTCCCAAACGAAGCCTTAGACACTTAAAGATCAGGTGCCAGGATGCTTAGATGAAGGGCAATAGGAACACCATAGTTTATGTATTTTCTCTTTCAGAAATGGAAGCAAGGATTAGTTTGTGCATCTGATAATTTCATTAAAAAGACAGTACGTATAAACGGTTCAGAGGAACAAACAACACTTTTTCAATTTAATAATACTGCTGCACAGCGGATAAAGGACAAAACAGTGCATTCAAAGGAAAGTTTACATATTATTCGCCTCCACTGCATCGAGGTTCCACCTTATGTGCCTATTGTTGACGCCATGATATAAATATATGGAGTCATCTAAGGGTTGACTAATTATTTTATGTTAAGGTTAATCATTTACTAGAATCATAGTGATGATGATGGTATCCACTATGACTTCGATTACTTTGAGATCGACTCAAGAAGTGAATTTATGAAAACTAAAATGCAAAGTGAAGATCAAAAATCCCATATGCATATATCAATTAGCTTAATTTTAAAGATAATAAACAAAAAACTAAAAAATTGATTTTTACTAAATTGATATAATTATGTTGGTACATTATTCTAGCTCTATCTATGATTTTTAAGAATTTATTTGAATTTACCTTCTATATATTTAATTTAATCTTAATCGTATGTATTATTTGCATAAATTATAACAATTAATGATTGAATGGTATAAAATTATGTCATATGTGAGAAATATTATCATTATAATGTTTATATGAGCTTAAGTTTTATAATTATATCATTATTTGTTAGTTACATATTATCCTTCTTAATTATATTAATTAAGAATAACCAATTTATATCTTATGAATTTTTAAATATATTTATAATTTTTATTTTTTACTGAATTTTTTATGATTATTTTGAAGACTAAAAAGATGTTAGATGAGTGGAAAATGAGTGTGTTGATTGCTATTGTTAAGAAAAAAGGTGATGCATAAGATTTTGTGAATTATAAAAGAATTAAATTAATGTGTCATACTTTAAAACTATGGGAGAGAGTTATGTAGCATAGGTTGCGGCGTGACGCTAATGTTTCTCAAAATCAATTTGGATTCATGCCAAGTAGGTCTCCTATGGAAGCTATATATTGAGAGGTTTGATGGAGAAGTATGAAGAGAATAAGGAGGATCTACATATGATTGTTATTGACTTGGAGAAAGCATATGATATAGTTTCAACATAAGTGCTATGGAGAGTTCTACATACGAAAGGGGTTAATAATGCTTAATATTCAAGTCATTAAGGATATATATGCATGAGCTGTTACTTGTGTTCAAACACATGGTGGTTTGACAAGTACTTTCCTATTTCAGTTGAATTACATCAATGATTAGCTTTAAGCCCATATCTTTTTGCTCTAGTCATGGATGTTCTCACTAGATATTTGCAAGAGGCTATATACCAAGGTATATGCTTTTGCTGATAATATTCTTCTTTTTGATAAGATTAGAGATGGAGTTGAAGGTAAACTTGAATTATGAAGGCCAATCTTAGAGTCTAAAAGCTTTCGTTTGAGTATATCTAAATTGAATATATTGAGTGTATTTTAGTAATAATAGATCTTAGTGTGGCGATTGTGACTTTGGCGATCAATTCATTAATAAGATCACAAATTTTAAATATCTTGGGTCTATTGTTCAGAGTGATGGTGAAATAGATGAGGATATTATTAGTAGAATTCAAGTTGGATGGTTGAAGTGGAGGAATGCATCGGGCTTGTTATGCGATAGAAAAGTCTCTCTCAAACTTAAAGGAAAATTTTATAAGATGGTAGAGAGACCTGCAATGTTTTATGGTGCAGAATGTCAATATTAAAAGAGAAGCATAATATTAAGTTAAGTGTTGCAGAGATGAGGATGCTCGGGTGGATAAGTGGCTTTACTCTAAAAGACAATATATGAAATGAGCATATACGTGAAAAGGTTGGAGTAGCTTCACTAGAAGATAAGATTAGAGAGAGTCACCTTAGATGGTTTGATCACATAAAACGACAGCCTTCCAATGACCAGGTTAGGAAAGTAGACGTATTAGATTTGACTTATATTAAGAAAGATCGAGGTAGACCTAAAAAGACTTGGTTAGAAAATATTAAAAATGACCTTTCTTTATTAGATTTAGCAGAGAATTTGACCCTTAACATGACACAATGGAGAAAAAAGATTCATGTAGCTGACCCCACATATTGGGATAAAGGTTTTTTGTTTTTTTTGTCGTCGTACTGATTTTTTTATGATAGCTTACAACTTATCTATGTTTCTACACAAAAAAAGCATGATAATTATAAAAATTTTGGTTTAATGAAGTAAATATATTATACTTAGTGAATTTGAGCTTAATTTAGATTACATTGGATTCATTGGGATATTCACATACAATTTCATATATTATAAAAATATTTTGCAATGATTTTTCAACGCACTAGCTATTTTCTCTATGGCATGGGTAAAACAGTGAATGTTGCAGCCAGATCAATTTGGCCATAAATAGTCTTGGCGCTAGCTAGTATTTTAAGCCATTAAAAAGGTATTCAGGGATTTTAATAGAAATTGGGTATACCATTAATTGAATTTGCATACAATAACAGTTTTCAATCTAGCATTGGAATGGCGTCATATGAAGCTTTTTATGGAAGAAAGTGCAAAACACCAATGTGTTGGGCATAAATAGGTGAAAGAAAAATAATTGGTACTGAATTGGTAGATGATGTTACTAACAAAATCAAATTGATCAGAGATAGATTAAAGGCAGTACAGGACAGGCAACAAAAATATTATAATGCAAAGCATAGGTCAGTTGAGTTTGAAGTAGGTGAATTTATTTTTTATTAAAGTCAATCCAATGAAAAGTTTGTAGCGATCTGGAAAGATAGAAAAATTGAGCCCACGATCGGTCCTTTTGAAATTATTGAGAGAATTGGAAATATGGCTTAAAGATTAGATCTGTCGGGGCATATAAAAGAGATCCACAATGTGTTTCACATATCAATGCTTAGAAAATATATATCATATGAATCAAAAAGAATCCAATCAAAAGTAGTTAAATTGTTGTCTGAGATATATTGAAAAATCTGAAAGAATCCTATAATATAAAGTGAAACAACTAAGAAATCGAGAAATACCTTTTGTGAAGATTTTATAGAAACATGAAACAAAAAGAGATGTCACTTGTGAGAAAGAAGCTGAAATGAAAGCACAATATCCTCATTTATTCAATTAAGGTATGTTCAATTATTCTTGCTTTTAAATTTTGATGACGAAATTTTTATGAGGGGAGATTGTGAGAACTGGACCTAGATAGTTCAACTGAACCGGCTAGTCACTAAAATGGGAGACGGGATCAAGCAGGTCACGGACCGCGAGCAAGCCGCAGGCATGCGGAAACTCTCCTGGGGGGCTCTTATCGCGGCATCGACTGGATTTTCACGTATGAGGATAAAAGGTAGCAACTCCTAATGAGAAATAACTTCCTTCTACGCAATCCAGTAAAAGAAAATGCAAGTTTGAGGTTCTGTGCGAGAGGAAATCGTATAGAGAAGAAGGAGAGGAAAGGTAAGTGGTCAATTTGATGCATATTTTGATAAAACTTATCCGTGATGTAAACTTAAGAAGGAATAAATGTTTAATTTGAGTGAAGTGGAAGAACCTTTTAAGAGGAAGAAGAAGAAATTTTAGAGAGGAAAGGGGAGGAAATTGGAAGAACGTCACTAATGTATTCTAATTTAATTTTCTTTAAAGTAAGAGTAAATTAATTCTCGAATTTTAGATATTCACCGTTGATTTATATAAATCCTTGTGTAGGAAATTATTTTCAAATTTGGAAAGTTGCAGTAAAGAAGAAAGGAAAGAAAACAAGTTTGGAATTTAAAATTTCTTCTACCCTTGTCGAAATAGGAAGGATTAAGTGATTGACTTATTTATATATGTTATTACATTTTCATTTCTCTAATTGGAGGAAATATTATTGTTATACGACGAGTTCAATTATTGTAAACATTGATTCAATAGATAGAGAAGAAAGGAAAGCTTTATTGCAAAGAAGAAAAAGAAGAAAGAAAATATTTAGTGAGAACGGGAATTAAATATTTGAATTGAGACAAATATTGGAAGTATATTTCAAGGGTCGATGATTTGAAGAGAATTGAAACATAAAGTATGAAAATAGATAATTGCAGTTGTGTATAGCAATTTCATTATTGTATTTTCATTTTAATTCTGAAAGTAATATTTAATAAAATTGTTTTACTTATTTTTTGAGACTATTATGAGTAAGGCGATGTAAATTTAAATGCATAAATGACGGTATAAATTTGATATATAATTTGTTATGACTAAAGAAATATACATTGATTATCATAAGAGTATGAAAGTATATGAATATGTGAAAGATATATATATATATATATATATAAGTAAAGAATGATGAAAGATATAATATAACTAATAAATTATGAATAAAAGTATAAATGAAAAAGTAAAAAGGATATGCATGCAAATTACAAGAGTTTACCCATGTACGGTACTGGCTGGGGAAACAACATACTCGTGCACGTTAAATGAAAATGAAAATTGTGTACCTTTAGTGGTACATTTAGATGGTGCTCTCGTACTGATTGAAATGGAAAAGAAATAAATGTCAAATGTTATGAAATGTATATAATATGAAATGTATATGAAATAAATAAATAAATGAAATAGAAAAATATGTATATGTATACTAAATATATATACTAAATGTTATAAGAATATACATATATCAAGTGTTATATAAGTTCTAATATTGTATAAGAAATTAGAAAAAGAACATGCATTACATTAGGATTGAAAAATTAAAATGGTATTAGTGGTTTTATAACAATTTTGAGTTAGGAAGAATTTTGAAACATCCCCTCCCGTCCCCCTCTTGGTGTACCCGTAAGAAGTCTAATGGAATGTCTGAGTTGAGACAAAAAAAATATTACAACAAATAATGTACAACACTCACCTGCTTCCCTGTATTGAATGGGATATACTTGTATTTGATCATGTGCATAATCTGCCGCTTCATTGTCAAGAAGAAAAGAACAATCCAGTAAAAAAGAAGTATGGGCCAAAAAACAGGAACATCAAAGAAGGAGAAGAAGGACATCACAAACGCGATGCAAATAGCTTTTGTTATGGAGTACCTGAAAACACAGCCAATACAATAATAATTAAGCAAACACACTCGCCACTACTGATAAAGCATTTGAACGAAAATATTTTTGTAAAAACATGCAGAATCGGACAGGTATAGCTACATAATATGCTTACAATGCTTCAAAAGGAAAAGCATCCTAAATAAGTCAAAAACAAATTTTATTCAATAAATCATCAATGGTTTATAATGAAAAGTCATCAATTCCTATTTATAAAAATAAAACAAAGATAAGGCCAAATAATTTGAACTCAAATATAATCTTGTTTAAAATTAAATTGAATTCTATCAAATATTATAATAAATTCAAACAGAATATTATACAAAAGAAGATATATTAGCCTAATAAATTAAAACAAATAAATTTTATAGGAAATTCCACCAAGCATAAATATGAATCTAAAAAGGCCAGAAAATTCATTTAATTAGGCTTTGTTATGGTCTAATTAGTTGAGCTACATTGCATCACTTTTTTTCTATGAATGCTAATAACTTTATCATACAAAACCAGTTCCTCTTAATCAGGAATTTTCAACATAAGAAAATACATAAAACTAAACATTTCCTGAAAAAAAAATGCAGACACTATAAGCTGTGACAAATTACTAAATAAATTCCTCCCTAAGAAAATGCTACGTCATTGCTCACTATTGATTACAAATCATCACATGGAGTCATGGACCGCTCACTATTGATTACAAACCATCACATTAACTGCTGGATCAAACTAGCATAAGGTAAACAGATTAATGGTGTCAGGGATACTATGCATCATGCTAATTAACGATTGCCAACTGTCGCCATGCACTGGCCTGATATGCATTTAGTGCATCCTATAACTTCAATAATCTATACAGCCAACACAGTTTTGTATCTAACATTGTACTCCAGTACACATGGTTACGGTCCAAAAACACTTGAATTATGTGTCTGATGCAACAACACACTACGTCCAAATCCATGCCTAGGAAAGGAAGGTTTAATGCACACATTTTAAATGCAGCTTAGTGGTAAACTATGATGCACGGACATGGTGGCACGGACACGACACGAAAAGGACACTACAGATTTTTTTAAATATAGGACAAGGGTGCGGCGTGGACATGGCTTAATAATTTTTTAATATAGTGTATAGAAATTAAGGTAACATCATATTAAAAATAACAAACAATAATATATTAATGTCATAATAACTTGTTTAGCTTATAATATAAAATGTTTAGTACAAAATGCATAGTACAACTATAAAAATATAAGCAAAAAATCATTTAGTACAACATCAAGTTTTAACTAGTAAATAGAGGGAATGATAGGAAAGAAAGATTTGCAATCTCCAATATTCTCATATCATCAGTGGACTCGAATCCATCTCCAGCAAAATCCCATATCTTATTATCACCTGTCATATAAAGTGGGATCTTCCTTGATGGAAGATGAAGATTTGTATGCACATAATTAACCCGTTGTAAAGTAATTTTATTCCTCTTCATCGATTGAATAAATAAATATGTGCTTCAATTTCTCTCACAATAAGAGGAGGATGAAACTTAACCAAGAAGTTTTATTGCTATTGTTTGAAGAACGGTGCTATAGCTCTATGAATCAACCACCACATCTTTGAATCCATCCTCCATCTATCAACCAAAGATTTTTTATCACTAAAATCCTCTAAATATCCAAAGAACTTTGCAAGTTCTATGTAAGACATTTAAAATACACCAAACAAAAACTTCCCTAATTTGAAACTATTGCTTCATGCCTTTATGTAATATAATGCTTAACACTTAAGTCTAGGATTTCAAATACAAAAAAAAAATGTTATGAATGTACAACATATAGTAAATCTATTTAAGTGAAGTAAGACATCTTAAGGACCGAAGTTTTCAATGAATACTAAATATGAAATGCAGGAAATCATACAAAATTTCAAGTTACAAGCGCTTAATCTTCAACTATTCATCATGTAAAATGAAATCAAAAGCACAAAGGAAATAAAATCAAACAAAAATTTGATGTCCATCTCCTAAATAAACAAATCTTCCTCTTATACAAGAAGATAACATCTCCATAACCTTCAAATCTCTCATTTAACCAAGAAATTGAATCCTTAGAAGGAAAAGAGCCACCAGCTAAATTTTTATTCAAGGATCAACTCATGCATTTTGTAGATGCCTAAACCCCATATTTGTAATTACAAATCCCCTTGAAATTTATTCATGACTCATGTATTTTGGAGATGCCTAAACCCCATATTTATAGTTACAAAACCCCTTGAAATTTCTTATACATTGATCACAGCAAAAGAAAAAACAGAAAAATTATAGAAAAATTAGCACTAGTAATTAGAGCCTGATAACATTGGAAAGAAAACAATCAAAGCATGATAACAAGGAAGCTAGACCACCTGATTCAAATAACAAGGGTTGAAAGCAGCTAATAATGGTAATAGAAAGATCGCCAGAGGCAATAATACAAACTACAGGGATTGATATCAAAAAGTGGTTCACAAATCCACTGAATCATTGAGAAATGAAGAGAAGAGAAAATTGCTTCAAACGAACTTACTAGGCTTGAAATCGTGCTCAATTGGCTCGCCTGCGGCAGAAATAACGAATGGAGGTTGGTCGAATACAAAGGAACGGGGATGACGAAGAAAATGTGCTTGGTTTGCCCTCGGTTGCGCGTAGACATGACAAAGGCGATGTATAGAGAGCTTTTCTCACTCGCCGGTCGCGCCGTAAAGGAACACGAGTGCAAGCCGTGAAAATGAAAATTAGGTCTCTATACGGGTGAATACCAGATATACATTAAAGATTTTATAATTTATATAAATCTAATTATTAAATATCAGGACACGTGTGCCCGTTATAATTAAATTTATTTTTTAATCTAACACACTAATCACGTGTCCGATATGTGTCCCCGCTATGTCCGACATGTATCCCAACGGGGGAGAAAATTTTGTAAAAAAAAAATTAATTATAGGATGCTTAGAAGGCCATAGCCATAAGTATTTTCTGGTCTGGTTTGTGCTAAGGCATTGATGAGCCACAAGGAAATTGCTTGCATTTTTTTAGCGCTCAATAAGTTGGCACCACCAACATCATGAAGGATCAACAAAATATTTGCATGTCATTGAATGTAATAAAAGTAATTCAATTTTCTACAAAAGAAATGATCATCAACATAAAACAAATTTCCTTCCGCTCCTTCCTAAATTAGGAGCACATCTTAACTAAGAACAAATCTACCTCACTTGAAATAAAAAAAGTCATTGCATGGCCATCTCCAGCAATTCCATCCACTAATAATGTACCTCAATTTCTACAAAAGAAATGATCATCAACATAAAACAAATTTCCTTCCGCTCCTTCCTAAATGAGGAGCACGTCTTAACTAAGAACATATCTACCTCACTTGAAATAAAAAAGTCATTGCATGGCCATCTCCAGCAATTCCATCCACTAATAATGTACCTCCAAGCACATGCACCAAAATTGTCACGCCCTGAACCTTATGAAGCACAGATAAGCATTAATGCTTGAAAAATCTAAATAACATAAATATGTGTGATAAATACTTGACTATTATCCTGCCATCCGTTGTTACTTTATCAATTACACGCCTTCATGGAAAACTTCAAAAACACAATATATATATATATATATATATATAAGAGGAGGCATAAAATTTGAATGCCCCATATTACCAATAAATATGCTAAAAGCTCTCAATTGTCATTAGTTTACCTTCTATAAATAAAGATGGAAAAAAGAAGCCTTAAAAGTTAAAACACTTTGTTGACCTCATTGAGTTAAAACAAAAATAAAGAAGCATTTTAACATACCTAATCCGAAATCTTATGCAAAATCAGCTGAACGCGCCAACTGCTATAGTACCCGACTCTGTTATTCGGCGCCGAAACGTCATTCTGCACGATCTCTCGCCTCGATCGAGCGTCCGCAGAGGTCGTTAAATAGCGAAGGAATGGAGACTTCTCTCACTGCTTCCACATACGTAAAAATCTTGAACTCCCTTCCTCCCAGCTCTCCCACACTCGCATTCCAGCTGAAACTCCTCCACCCATTGAGCGACCGAACTCGCCTCTTCCTCTAAGCCGAAGCCGACCTCCACTTGATCCTTCCACCAAAGCCTACAGCCAACCTACCTTGCCGAATCCAACCAACCTTTCCATCTCCTCAAACCAAAACATCCACACCCTAGCCGGGAACCCTCTCCAGCTTCGGTTGGTCCACGTACACAAAGAGAGAGAGAGAGAGAGGCGCCCAAACCTTTACCTCCTCCGACAGCTTTCCCTTCCTTTAGATCGGAAGTTACACCATTTTGATCGCAAGCAACACAGGAGCTCACTAGCTATGAAGGTAACTCTCTCCCTTTCACGCCCATTCGCCCAAATCCCGTAAACCAGAGAAGGGGGAAGGGGGGATTTTGTTTATTTATTATTATTATTAAAATTATTATTATTATTTAATTATAATAATTTTAAATTAATTAAAAATAATATTAGTTATAATTAACTTAATTTAATTATAAATAATTATTCTAATATTAATTAATTATATTTAAATATAATTAATCAATTATATTCAATTACTTTAATTATCATTAATTAATAATATTCATAATCATTTATAATTAATTTATTTTAATTATGAATGATTATTTATTTTTATTAATTAATTAATAATTATTAGTAATTGCATATAATTAGTTAGATTAAATATTTTTTAAATATTTTTAATCATAATTAAATAATATTAGTTATAATTAGTTATGATTGAATTTAATTATAATTAATTATTTTTAATTAATTTAAACAAAGAAAAAAGTGTGCCTCTCCCTTTCCTCGATCCACATGCTAACACCGACAACCCCGCGAAGGTACGAATTTTCCTAAACTCAGATTCTCGCTCTCGAAGTTGGCAGCACACTGGAAAACCGCCCATACACGCATTTATTGCGCGTGGT